TTTTGATGTAAAAAAATTTCGAAAATTTCTGCAAAAATTTTCGCAAAATTTTACATCAAAAAATTTCGAAGATTTACAAAAATTTACGGAAATTTATGCAAAAATTTACGGAAATTTTACATTCCGAAAACTTACGGAGTTATCTGCCCTTAAAAATTTTCTGATATTTGATATATACTAACAAATAATAAAATAGACAAATATCAAGTTGACATAATTTGATCATTAGCTAAGTTCACTTCTTTCAACATTATTTCTTTGTTTGAGACTTTTCACTACATTGTCAATCTTTTCTACCTGATGTCTAATCTTTTCTATATCTCCCTTAATATTTTAAAATTCATTACGAATAATCTTATTAAGATTATCGCTGAGAAGTTTTATATCCAATTTGGCAATGGTCGGAAAAATTTCTATTATAGAATTTTTAAATTCATTACTTGAGTCTTCATCTATATCACCAAAATATATAATAAGTTATTGTAAATTATCAAGTGAGATAAAGTTATAGTACAATATTATAGTTATTTACTTTAGTCGTTAAGCTTCTTAGTGAGGCCTGCAAGCTTCATTACCAGTTCTATTTTCAGCTTACATTTTCTGAAATCCTGTTTATCTATCTTGAGGAAGTCACAACTCGCAATCTCTCATTCACATAAAATCTCCAAATGTTTATTATTTAAAAATAAGTTTTGTTCTTGTAGAAAATCAATTAGTTTCACTATGTCTTTCTTTATAATTTCTTCAATTGAATTATCTTTGACAGAAGACAGCGGTAAGAGTAATGTACATTTATTATTATTACCTGATGAAAGATATTATTTCATAACAAAAAAGTAATTATTAAATATATGTAAAATTTTTTATACTAACGAAATCGATTACCTAAGCTTATTCTTATCACAAACAAGATTTTTATTAGAATTCGTATCCTCCACTTTGACCTCAATTCTCGCTTTCTTAGTTAATGCTTCTTCATCCATCTATTCATCATTCTCAAAAAAATGTTTTTGACTATTGTCAGCAAATTGTTTCTGAAGTATATCAACTTGATCTGCTAAATTTTTGACTGTATGTAACTGTTGTACTCACACAGCCCTAATCTTTTTGTATGCTTACATACTTTTTTCATTGGTGCAGTCCAGTTCTTGGCAAAACAAAATCTGCATTAATAAATCATTTCATTACAAGAAGTTTTCAACTAAATATACAAAGGGAGTTTTAAGCTAAGAGCTAATCACATTTGAATCAAGAGTTAAGGTTACACTAAAACTATGAGTTCAGCTCCTCCCAAGGAATAAAGGAAATCAAGCTAAGAGCTCTTCATATTCGAACTAAGAGTTGAGGTTATTACTCTAAACTAAGAGTTCAAGCTCTTCCCCTTTCCTTATCATAAATTAACAGTAACTATAAACTTACTTTCCAATGATTAAGTAGTTCTTGAACTTCCATTTTACATTTTATATTGAATCCAAACTCTATATCTGCTACCTTCTGAAGATCTTTTTTTACGCTGTCAAGAACTTTTGATAGTTTGAATATATTTTCCTTGTGATAATAATTCACTAAATTTGTATATGTCCATTTGTGAACTGACATAATCGCATAAAAATCTTTTATAGTTACGGAAGTCATCCTGTTTAAAGAGTAAAAATTTTTTATAAGTTAGGTTATAAATTGATCAATTACGTAAGCAAATTATCTGTTACGATCACATGAGAGATTGCGTTCCAGGTGTAGTAACGAATGTCATTGATGAACTTGTAATATTTGATACTATATTAAGGTATATTAAGGTAAAACTGCTAAACAAAAAATACATAATCAGAAAAATAATGGTATTAGTTTCACTGATAAATAGATAAATATATATATTTTATATATCTATTATATTTGTAGTAAATTATATATTAAATTATTTATTTTATTAAATCTGTTTATGCACTGTTAATTTGATGCATTTCTTCCCTATTAACCTATAAGAGTTTGTAGTGCTGAGCAAGTTTTGTAGTGCACATGCCTTCTGGTCTATGGAAAATTTTTAACTATTTTTGTTATATGACCTTTGCAGCTTGAATTTTTTTACCAACTTCTCTTGTATATTCAATTTTTCTAACAGCATTTTTTATCTACAATTCATACTTACGTAATATATATATATCATCAGTTGAGTGTTGAGATACAGGCTTTTGTTTAAGTCTCTTGACTTTTTCAAAACTGACGTGAATGTAAACAGAACATCTTGTAATCCAATATTTCAAAAATATCACCATAATTATATCTTCCAATTTTCTTTTCAATATGTACAAGTTGATTACACTTGTGACAAATGGTAAACCCATTTTCAGATGCATATGTTATTCCATTTGAATATCAAAATAACTTCCTTGTGTGAGTGAGATTCTTACCTTCAACAAGTAAAAGATCATTTTCTTTGAAATACATAAAATGAAGTAGAATTCGATCTCTCTATCTAGTAGATGTTTTATCTAACCTAACAACTCCCATTTAGCAATATTCAGTCCATTCTTCATTTGAGTACTTAGAACCTTGATAGGCCACTAAACTACTAAAATCACACATTTTATAACTTATTTATCGATTATAAAGCTCCTTATAAGTCGAGCCAAGCCGAGCCTCATAAAACTCAGGCCGAGCTGAACCCAAAAGTCTTAGGCTCGAGTCAAGCTGAGCCTTACTTATATAGACTCAACTCAGCTCGAGCCTCATAGTAGGCTTATAAGTAACGGATAATTTTTTTTTAAAAAAAAATTATGTGGGCTTTTATTTAAAGCCCCAAAATTTTTAAGGCTCGCGAGCCTACTTTAAGGCTTGAGCCTTGTGAGCCAGGCCTATGAACCTATAATATCAGGCTTGGCTCAGCTTGGATTGGTTCGGCTCACTAGGCTCGCGAGCCTTAAGGCCTATGTGGAGCTTTAATCGATTATATGAGATTATGTAATTTATATCATATTTAAGGGATTTAGACTTATTTGATTTAATAACTTCATCAGGAAATTTTTGAAGGTGAATATATCCAGATAAATTTTATAATATGTGGATATATGTGAATATATTTGGAATATACGAATTAATGCATGGGTGATCGAATATATTCGAATATATATTTGCAAATTTATCTGGATATATTCACATATATCAGAATTTATAAATTACAAAACTGAAATAATTTATCATTGTTACGACGTAATAACTTTTTATTTTAATAAGTAAATATTGAAAACTACATTAAGTGAGTTAAAAGATAAGAAGATTGTGCATCTCCTATAAAAATTTCAGACCTATATAATCAAAATTGAGCAAATTATGAATGGTTATTTTCGAACACAATGAATTATTTCCGTTTGAAATTTAATCACTTATAATTTACTCAATTTTGATGATATAGGTTTAAAATTTTTACAGAGATAGACAACCTTCTTGTCTTTCAACTTACTTAATGCAATATTCAATATTTACTTATTAAAATAAAAAGTTATTACATTATAACGATGATAAATTATTTTCGATTTGTAATTTATAAATTCTGATTTATGCGAATATATTTGGATAAATTGAAGAACTAGCCTATATAGATCCTATGCAGATCTCCTAACTTCAGCCAACCTTAACTTTGATAGTTGACATCTAGTTGATATATTTGAATTTATAAATTATAAAACAGAAATAATTCATCATCGTTACAACGTAATAACTTTTTATTTTAATAAGTAAATATTGAATGCTACATATAATAAGTTGAAAGATAAGAAGTTGTACATCTCTTGTAAAAATTTCAGACCTATATCATCAAAATTGAGTAAATTATGAGTGATTAAATTTCGAATGGAAATAATTCATTATATTTAAAAATAACTGTTCATAATTTGCTCAATTTTGATAATATAGGTCTGAAATTTTTACAGGAGATGTACAACCTTCTTATCTTTCTACTTACTTAATACAGTATTTGACATTTATTTATTAAAATAAAAAGTTATTACGTTATAACGATGATATATTATTTTTGTTTTGTAATTTATAAATTCTGATATATGTGAATATATCTGGATAAATTCATATGCAAATATATGCAGATATATACGGATATATCTGGATAAATTCGCGTGAATATATCCAGATAAATTCGCATATCAGATAAATCTGCATAAATTCGCAATATGTCTAAATATATGCAAATATATTCAGATAAATTTACAAATATATTTGAATATATGTAAATATTTAATGTGAATAAATGCACGGGTGGTCGAATATATTCGAATTAATTTAAGGCAAATATATTCAGATATATTTGCTATTAAAAATTTCCTGATGTACCTTTTTATCTCTTCTTAACTTACCTTTCTACCTCTTTTTAACTTATCTTTCTTTGAAATTGTACTTTTGGACTTTTGAAATAGTATAAATCTGTTTTTTTTTTCTTTTTATTATTATTATTTTTTTAATAAATATATTTACTTACCTTTCTACCTCTTCTTAACTTACCTTTCCTCG